AATAAAAGTGTCTAAATGTGACTTATAAATATCAAACATACTGCTTGCATAATTTTTTACATTTTCTTTTTTTTTAAATTTTTTAGTGTTTATTTATTTTTGAGAGAGAGATAGAGACAGCATGCGCAGGGTAGGTAGAGAGAGAGGGAGACACAGAATCCCAAGACAAGCTCCAGGCTTGGAGCTAGCTGTCAGCACAGAGCCCGACGCGGGGCTCTAACCCACTAACCGTGAGATCATGACCTGAGCTGAAGTCAGATGCTTAACTGACTGAGCCACCCAGGCGCCCCTACATTTTCAATTATAAGCATTTTGTATAATAAAAGCTATTTATCTTTTAGCTTGCAAACATTCTAACCTCACATATATATTTTTAATTTTCCCTATATTCAAGGTACTTTATATTTATTGGCCTACTCAAATATACTTTTCTATAATCAAGATATTATATCTTATTTCATGAAGTAAATATTATTGATCATGCATCTCCTTTTTGCCTTACATGATGCTAGATACTGATGTTACAGTTTTGACCAAAGCAGAAATGACCTCTAACTTAAATGAAATGTAGAACCAGTTCAGATAATCTATTGTGTTTAAGGGGGGAAAATTTTCCATTTTTACTTCGATCTGGTCAGCATATAATTTAAAATTAAGAGCTACAACAAAAGTTAATTGATCATTGTTGGTGGCAAATTCCGTTACTTTTCTCTTTTAAGTTCAATTTAACAAGTATTTGTTGATTTCCTTCAGGTTTGGCATATAGATACAGCACTGAAAAATATCCCTTCACTTCATGGAGTTTTGTCTAATATTTCAGTTATAAATTGTGTACTATATATGTTAAATTCAAAATATCATAAAGTAATGTGGATTACAATTTACTTACTCTATTTACAAAAGGATTCATGTTTTTTTTTTACTTGACTTGCATGCATTAATCTAGTAGGAAATGTTTGATAAAAAACTGTTTAAATGTTTACCCAGTTTTAAATAATTAAATGATACTTTTTTCATAGAATTTCATATTTCATATATGTATTTAATTGTGGCCTGTATTAAAAAGACACAGTTCTGTTTTGTAAACTTGCTGGCTATGATAAAAAAAAATCATAGCAGTTTTTTTCTACCAATTATTACAATGACCAAGAATCTATTTGTGTTTCTCTTAATTTTCTCTGATATATTTCCTACCATGGAAGTGAAATACAATGGATTGGGATTTACCTTGAGCTCATTTACTTATTCAACATTCTTTAAGTCTTTTCACTTTTCAGACTTTGTGCATCTTTATTTGAATATCAGTTACATTTGTACCTCATTTTCTGTCTTACTTAGAATTCTGATTTTTTGTCATGGGTTTAAAATTTAATTATTAATCACTTTATTGCATTATTTTTAATGTTTATATAGTTTTTGAGAGAGAGACAGAGACAAAGTGAGAGTTGGGGAGGTGCATAGAGAGAGGGAGATACAGAATCCAAACCAAGCTCCAGGCTCCCAGGCTCCCAGATTTTCAGGCTCCACCCTCCAAGATGTCAGCACAGAGCCTGATGCGGGGCTTGAACTCACTAATCTGAGAGTTTGTGTCCTGAACCAAAGTTAGACACTGAGCCACTCAGGTGCCCGTCACTGTATTGCTGTCTAATGGAAGAGAAGTTCCTAGTGTAACACAGATGGTACCATCCAATAAGTCTTTCACAGAACTTGTGTACAACTCTGGTGTTCTGGTATGTTGACAAAGAAAGAGCTAACATATAACCAGACATTTTTCTGGTAACTTCCTGAGTGAAGGCCTTTCCAAGCTTTCTGTTTTCCTAATATTTGTCTCTCTTTCTAATTTAAAAATGCAGCCAAGCCTTTACAGTCGACCATGGCAAAAACATCAGGGATCCCTTTTGTCCATAAATAATCGGTGTCCTTAACAACTTTCTTACATGTCAGTATATACCCCTAGCATCTTCTTAGTTCAGAAATAGATCTAGGTGAATATTTCACCACATAAACATATTAAATTAATGTTCAAAAATGTGTATAAAGTTATAAAACCAATGTAAAATATACTAATGAATAAGTACAGTATTAACATTATTTCCTGTCATCTATTTAGGTAAGCAAATTGATTAAAAGAAAATGTAAGATAAAGTATACATTAAAACTCTCCTATAAATGCCAACGAAATACACATTTTTCTGATTGTGCTATTTTGACATTCACCAACAGAATACAGTCTAAGCCAAACATGAAGGAAAATACTATTTTCAGGAAAAATACACACATATATGAACAGATTAAATGTGCCTTATGAATATGTTATTAAATACTAGAAATTTATAGATCTTCCTGACCAGAATTCTTAGCAGATGGTGGGTTTTGAATTTAGGGTGTTATCCAAGTTGATCATGATTGTAGTCTTAATTTGAAATTTTAACATGTAAGATTATACTTGAATTATTACTGCCTCCTTTCTAAATCCTTTTCCAAGTACAAACCAAGCTCTCGAGCAAAATTTTCTGAGAAACAAATGTCAACATTGGTAGCAGATTAATATTGTTGAAGAAATGGATTTGATGAGATTATTATTCAGTATAATATAATCTGATTTCATTTGAATATTTTTAGATAGGAAGTTAGAGATGGATACTGTGTTCCTTCAATATGAACTGTTAGAATTATAATGTGAAACCTGAAAAATATACGCTTTCTACAATATTTGAACTATTATCTTTTCTCCTCACATTTTTGTTAAAGTAGAACTTTTCCAAATGTAAACTGAAAAATAACCTTCATTTCCTGGATAGCAGTCAAAATCTCCTTTCTTTGTCACCTAATGAAGAATTATTCCTAGAGCAGAAGAGCATCACCTAATGTCTCATGAGAAAGCTATTAGTATGAGATCGTCACATTTTATAGATAGAAACCTAATGCCAATCATTAATGTAGAAATCCATTTTTACAGTCTTTTGTGTGTCTTACATCTCCCTTCTACTTTGATGAGGATTGTATGGTTAGGTCATGAAAAATAATGAACTGGCTTTTAGAAGTGGAAAGATGATCTAATTTCTTTTCTTTACTTTTTTATTCCCCTCTCACCCGAGAAAATGGAACCAATAGTCGTTGAAAGGATTGATGATGAGAATAGGAGATTTTATATGTGGAAAGCCCTGTGATACCAGAATTAATCTGGTGCATTTTATACATGCAATGCAATAAGGGAATTGAGATGTCCTCACCTATCTCACTTTTACAAATACTCCTCTTGTGGTGTCCAATGTTCCTTTCATTCGTTTATCCCCCTGTTTGGTGTAAGGTGACTCTTCAAATTTTAGCCTGGGATACTGCACAAGAAAGGCATTATATTTTTCAAGGCTGTCATGGGAAATAAAGTGATTGCCTTCCCAATATTTATGTCCCTCTACTTCCCCACTAATACTCCTGCTTCTTGAGGTTTTGTTCAAGAAACAATATGTCCACTCAGCCTCTCACAGTGGGAATGGTCAGGGGATAGTCTTCTGAGTAATAAAAGGCAGACATAATTCTTGATGTGAAAGAATAGAAAGTCAGAGCCTCAGTAGGATGATGTCTCTTGCTTGCTCTTTTGTTTTCATCTTCCTTGAATTCAGATAGACACTTTTTTAATGTTTATTTTTGAGAGAGAAAGAGAGCAAATGGAGGGGAAGGGGCAGAGAAACTGGGGGAGAGGATCTGAAGCAGGCTCTGCACTGACAGTGGACAGCCCGACATGAGCCTTGGGCTAAGGAGCCATGAGATCATGGCCTGAGTCGAAGTCAGAAGCTTAACTGACTGAGCCACCCAGGTACACCAAACATTTTTAAATACAGCAACCCTTTTGTGCCTGGGATGAATAGAACGAGGACTCAAAGAAGACGTAGGTACTGTGGACACTACTACCTCCTATAGGTTTCTTATTGTGTGAGAAAATCATCCTCTATGTACATAAACTATTGTTACCTGTTTTTATGTTACTTGTAACAATGTTTAATGGACTCAAATATAATATCTCTTAAGTTATTTGAATTGGATGAAAAGGAAAGATGTGGTAGATACTGAGTAGGAAGATGCTATGTATATTTCTAACCAATAATTTCTTCAAGTAAAAGAGTGGTATTTCAAAAAATATATATATTAGTATTTTTAGAGGGAATATCTACTTTTCTTTTTTCCAGATAACTTAAAGCAATCTGAGAATTTTTATATATGGTCAGCCATTGTTCAGGGGTAACAAGTTAGCTGACCAAGGCCAGTGAGAAATAGAGAATCAAGTAAAAATTGGCTTTAATGAATTTTATCCCATGTTCCTGCCATTGTTCCAGTGAACCATGGGGTTTTTATTATGCCTTGCTTTGTGTTGTTCTTAAAACATAATTGGCAACTCTGTTGATTCCATTTTAGAGGATCAAAGAACATTTTTATGGTTGAGACATTAATTTTAGCTTTCATTTTGTTTTAATCGCTTATCTACTGTCTCCAGTCTATGTCACATAGATAGAAAGCATTTTTCTTAAGAGAGACAAATGAGTTAAATGACCAATAAGAGAGGATTAGTTAAATAAATATTATTTACTTTATGCTCTGGCATATTTTATTCTCATTAGAAATAATGTAGAATAAAATTTAATTAGCATTAAATACTCATCACTTAATATGAAACAAAACTACTAGGTTTTGAAATATTACATGAAATTTTATTCCAAGTTCAGAGGGAAAAAAAAAGGAAAGAGACTGAGAGTATCTATGAAGTGTTTCTCTGAGTACTTATGGATTATGGATGGTTGTTTTTCTCTGTATTTTCCAACTTTTTTCCAATTTCTGCAATCAGTTTATGTGACTCAGTAATGGTCTTTTTAAAAATGTCTTGGCTATTAACAAAGTAACTCTAATTTAACATTGAAAATCATTTAAGAATAAATCACTTTTATTGACTACCTTTTTATTAACAAAAAGTTTGACAAAAAATCTGTTTGTTTGTTTTAATACAGAAATCCTTAATGGTGGAGTCTATGTAGACCAGAACAAATTTCTTTGTTACACAGACACAATACATTGGCAAGATATTGTTCGGAATCCGTGGCCTTCCAACTTGACTCTGGTGTCAACAAATGGTAGCTCAGGATGTGAGTAACATTATCCTTTTTAATGTCTCAAAATATTCTTCTACTTCTTGTAAAAACAAACAGCTAATATTTGTCATGTCATTAATAATATTTTGAATTTTGATTGCATATACTGAAATATTCAGTTATACAGAACAGAACAATCTTTTACTGCCGGTTAACTCTCTTTTAAGGATCATAACTTCCCTTTTGTAAATTATCATTCTTTTAACATGACTTATTTCGCTAAATCTAAATACTTCACCATATTTCTAATATCTAAGCATTCCAATGTATAAATGTTTAAACATGTGCCCCAATTGCTTCTCGGCCTTTTGGCTAAGATCAAGTGTAAACATGTGCCCCATTGCCCAGAAACTTAAGTCCAGTGTCTATGGCTTCAACTATGTGTGAGCCACGTACACAGAGAAAAATGTGGTAGAACAAAAATATTACTTCCTATTTACTATAATATTTTAAATTATAAAAACACATGGATGAACATTTTAGAATTCCTAAGCTTACATTTGCCCTTGAAACCTTCATGGTAATACTGTGTAACAATCCCAAGCACCTTAAATAGAGTGGAGAAATACAGATTTCATAGAAGAGATATATGTTACATTCTGGCTTTAGTCATTAGCCTAATAAACTATCCAGTTTCCCATTCTTAAAGTGTATTGTTTCTATTACAGAGGATTTATCAGATTCAGAGTGTTTAATATGATTAAATGACAAGCAAGTAATATTTGAAATAAATCATTAAAATCTTAGAAAAATATTCTGCCTGGAATCTGTTTCATTTTCATAAAGCAGGCTATGTGGTCCCCACATTTATTGCTACTGACATTTGTATGAGAACAGAATCTTTATCAAGTGTTAACCTGGGTTTTGTATTTCTCATCTATTATTATACATTTCCCACCTGAAATCATAACTATCTTCTCACTGTTCGATAATTATTTGCAATAGTACTGATTGTGTTATGACACTTTTGTAGGAAATCAGACTCCATGGGACAATTATTAAATTTCATGATTGTCCTAATAATATAATGGAGAAATATGAATATATTTGATCCAAACTGACAGCTGTGTTTTTAATAATTGGCTAAAACTTTTTTTTAAAGTAGAGTAAAATAATCTTCTTGTCACTTTTGAGCAGAAATTTGTATGAGACTTCATCTTTACAGCGTTCAAGGTGTCTACCTTGTAAAATTACATGTGAATAAAATATTGAAAATATTTACATTAACAAGACAAATGATGTGCTTCAGAAATGGCTTTCATTTTCAGTCCTCCCATACTATGGTACATTTTGTATATTTGGCGGGGGTGAGGAGAGGGGGAAGATAGTGGTTAGATAAGAGGAAAGGCCTACTGACTCTTCGCTTATTAGAGTGACCAATCTATAATTGCATGTATGAGATCAGGAAAGAATGAAGCCCAAGCAATACAGAAGCCAAAGGAACGGCTTACAGGATGTGGAACAGGAAAGGTCTGGGGGGTTCCTGCACTTTCACAGATGGCATCTCTTTGTGCTATTGTTTGTGGGCAATTTTGGATGGTTGTGCCTGTAATTAGGCAACTGTAGCTGCATTTGTCTTGCATGCAAATAATCGCAGGTGCAAAAATTACAAATGTAGAGTAGAGTCATAATAAATGGTCCTTTACAAATTAACCACCAATTGCTTGTTGAAGTTTTATTCTTTACATACTAGTTCTCTTTGCTGACACATTAAATATACTGCATGACACTATACCTGTTAATAAGAATTGGCTAGTCTTTGGATATTGGTTTCAACTTAGCCTATTTTTTCCTCTACCTTCTCTCCATGAGTGATGACAGATACTCTCATGGTTTTAAATGGAAACGTCTATGCCAATGACTCCCACAACTACACACCACTCAAGTTAAAAAATCTGGTGGTCATCATGGACTTCATCTGCTCATTGGTCATGGCATTGATTTAATCATATTGAATTTGTCTATTTCTTGATTTTACATATTTTTTATTGCCATTGATCGAGTTCAAGACTTTGTCCAAGTCTGAGTTACTGAAACAATCTGAATTCTTAATAGTTTTTGAGGCTACGGACTGTGCAATCTGGTGAAACCAATAGCTCCCTACTTACAATATGTTTAAATTAATAAATAGGCACAGAATAAACATTATATATCATAAATGCATGAAATCAATAAGTTTATAAAATAAACTTTAAAGGATTACATACAAGAAACTGAATTATGCTGAACTACATTTATCAACATGCCTAACAGTAAATATGTGATATGATAATAAGCTTCTTTATGAGTACATTAAATACAAAAATTCTAACAGTAGGATTAATAAACAATGTAGTTGTGGAGCAGCAATAGGCCTGAGTATTATTTTATAAAGGACTGTCACTTTAGCAATTGGTGTTGGAAAAATTGGATATTCCCATATGCAATATTGAAGTAAGATTTTACCTTACACTATGTATAAGAATTTAACTCAAAATGAATTAAAGACCTAAGCATAAGGCCACATACCATAAAAATTCTAGAAGAAAACATAGAGGAAAAACTTCATGGCATTGAATTTGGCAATGATTTTTAGAGCTACCACCAAAAGTGAAGACAACAAAAGCAAAAATAGAAAAAATGAGGCTACATCAAACAAAAACTTCTGCACATCAAAGGATATAATCAACAAAATGAAAAGCAATTTACAGAATGGGAGAAAAATCTACAAGTTATATATTTGATAAGGGGTTAATATCCAGAATATATAAAGAACTTTTATAACTCAGTAACAAAAAATTACCTGATTCAGAAATGGGCATAGACTTGAAATGGCATTTCTCCAAAGATTATATACAAATAGCCAACAACTATATGAAAAGATGTTCAAGATCACAGTGATTTGAAATCTAACTCATAACCATGAGATATAATAGTATACCCATTAGAATGACTATTATCAAAATAATAGAAAATTACAAGTCTTGGTGAAGATGTTTGAAGAATTTGAAACCTCTGTACACTGTTGGTGGGATTTTAAAGTTGTAAAATAGCTATGGAAAATCGTACGTTTTTTCCTCAAAAATTAAAAACAGAACTATCATATTATCCAGCAACTCTACTTCTTGATATATATCTAAAAGAATTGAGAGCAGTCTCAAAGCAATATTTGCACATGCACATTTATAGCAGCACCCCAAATGTACACTAATGAAGGAATGCATGAACAAAATGTGATACACACACACACAATGGTACATTATTCAGCCTTAAAAAAGGTAAGAAAATTATGACATATGTTACAACATGAATGAAGTTTGATGACATTTTTCTACGCAAAATAAGCCAGTCACGAAAAGACTGTATGTCCCCTTACATGAAGTGACTAAAGTAGTCAAATTCATAGATACTGAAAGAAGAATGGCAATTACCAGGAGCTGGGAGGATTGGGAAATGGGGAATTTCTGTTTAATGAGTATAGAGTTTCAGTTTTTTGTAAGATGTAAAAGCTTTGTAGATCTATTACATAACAATGTAAATGTACTTAACGCTACTAAATGTACACTTAAAAATGGTTATGAGAGTAGATGTTGTCTGTTTTTACTACAATAAAAAGAAAGAAAAAGGGAAAGAAAGAAAAAGCAAGCAAAAGAAAGAAAGAAAGAAAGAAAGAGAGAGAGAGAGAGAGAGAGAGAGAAAGAAAAGAAAGAGAAAGAAAGAAAGAAAGAAAGAAAGAAAGAAAGAAAGAAAGAAAGAAAGAGAGAAAGAAAGAAAAAAGCAAAAGAGCTTTTATGATACTTATAGTACTGGAATAGAGTATGATTGTATCTTTAATTTCCATTGGTCACAGTGTGGTTGGCACTGCCAATATTATCAGGACCTTATATTCATAATTGATGAAAATCATATATTTAACAAGAGATTAATGTGAATAACAATGTAACATTCCTCATTCAAGTTCATGGACCTCCTAAATTCCATCCATAATCCCTTTAGGGGCCCCAGGCCTCCTCGTTAAGAGCCCCTGTCTTTAATTACTTTCCTTGCCTCTAATTTTGACAAATCCACCTGAGAAAGTGACACCAAGAGCTCTGTTTAATGAATATCTAACCATGACCCTGTCTAAAAATCTTGTCACTGCAACTGACTAATGTGGGGTCAATTCTTAACAAAACCAGAGGTTTGGAGTTTTTAGTAGATTCCTGCTTATTTCTCCCCTCAGTAGAATGAGTTCTTATAATTTATTTGTCTGTACTGCCTTTCCTTTTCTGTCTGCCAGACTAAATTTTACTTATACTCATCACACTTATCAATTGTTACCTCTTCTAAGAAGTGTTCGCTTCTACCGGCTGGATTATGTAACTTTTCCCACATAACCCCATAAAGAGCAGGGCTGAAATCCGCCATTCTGTCTCATTCTAAAATGAAAGTCCTGGAGGCCAAGGCCCAAGTACTTATTCTGTCCTCTGTTATAGCACATAATGGATAGATGAAGTTTTATACTGAATAAATGGATAAATAAATGAAATAGATCCATTCACAAATAAGAAAATCAAATGAATCTAAGTAATATTTTCTTCTTTTCATCATCTGTATGTAAAAGATTGTATGTGAAGTAAAAGTTATAATCCATAGATAGGTAGCTTATTCATTTTAAATCTTTTTCAGGTAAAAATTGTAGCCTACATCTGTGTGCTTAATTTAATTTATAACTATACAGTTATTGGGGTGCCTGGTGTCTCAGTCACTTAACAGTCTGACTTGATTTCAGCTCAGATCATGATCTCACCATTTGTGACATCAAGCCCATATTGGACTCCGTGCTGAGAATGCAGAATGTGGTAGAGATTCTCTCTGTCTCCCTCTGCCTCTCTCCTACTTGTGCTCTTTCTCTCTTAAAATATGAATAAACAAACTAGACTTTATAACTACATATTTATAAGTCATATTATTTCTATTATTTATGTTCTATCTATTGTGTAATACTTATAGGATAAAAGATATATGTCACTTTT